TGGGTTCGAGACCAGCCTGGGCAATTTGGTGAGACCTCGTCTCTACAATAAATCAAAAAATTTAGCTGGGTGTGGTAACGCGCTCCTGTAGTTCTAACTACTTAGAACACTGAGGTGGAAGGGTCACCAGAGCCTGGCAGGTTGACACGCTGGGGTGGCTGTGAGTGTGCCACTGCACTCCAGCCTGAGTGACAGAGTGAGACTCCACCTCAAAAAAAAGAGAGGATTGCAATTATGGGTAAAGGAGTAATGTACTATAAAAAGGACCAAACAGATATGAAAAGGAAACCAGCAGAGCTTCTAGAAATAAAAAAATACTATAGATAAATCTAAAACTTTAATGGAGAAAGTGTGTGATATCACTTAGTTTGAACTCCTTTCACCTAAGTTTCTAGATACCGTATAAGAATTGCAGCAAGCCAAAAAACCTACAAATCTCAAACTGCTTAAACGGTGGCCCTAAAAACCTGAAATCAGCAAGACTACCTCCAGAAGTCACAATATTGTAATGGAGTGGCAGAGCAGACATGGCCACGTCCTAGGTGGGCTGCAGATAACCCGTTTCTTCCATCCAAGTGTTAACCAGACCCGGACCTGCTTAACATGTAAGATTAGGCCAGATCAAAATTCTTTATTTCAATTGTTAAATTAAAAGGCTCACAAGCCCTCCCCCTCAAAAAAAAGAAACACAGAAAACATGTTAGAAAATAGAAATGAAAGAGCAAAGAGAATGAAACCGAAGAGATGGTTTGCAGTGATAGCTGGAGAAGGAGGCAAGGGAGATTCACTGGCAGCACGTTTAAGTCTGTGCAGGAGAAATCCAAAGCATCGGAACGGATCCTGTTTTTAAAACTAGTTCAGCTTGGTGTGCTGGCTCATGCCCATAATCCTAGTACTTTGGGAGGCCGAGGTGGGAGCGTTGCTTGAGCCCAGGAGTTTGAGACCATCCTAGGCAACATAGCAAAACCTTGTCTCTACAAAATAAATAAATCAATTAGCTGGTGGCATGTACCTGTAGTCCCAGCCTTTCCAGAGGGTGAGATGGAAAACTTGGCTGAGCCCAGGTGCAAGTTATAGTCAGCCGTGATTGTGCCACTACACTCTGGCCTGGGTGACAGAGTGAAAGATTCCAATTCAATCAATAAAATAAGATAAGATAAAATAGTCAAGGAAGCTTTTGTGAGGTACAACAGGAGACAAGCCCAGCATTTGAAACAGCCCATTATGTACCTGCCCGGGAAAATGTACGGGACACAGTCGACAGCGGGACTCCTCTATGCAGGGAACACATGTAGACTCTTGAGGGCAGCATTCAGTGCCTTGGTCTGAGGCAGTGCCAGCTCAGGGCATTTATACTCGAATGTATTTATGGTTTCTGAGATACAGGGGTGCCATCTCCAGCCAGTATCCGTGCCCAGAACTCTGTTAGTAGTGGTGGCATTGCTGATCAGAGTTCAAGGGACAGATGACAGAAGGAGCAGTTAAGATGACCCTTGTCGGCTGGGCTCGGTGGTTCAGCCTGCAATCCCAGCACTTTGGGAGATCGAGGCGAGTGGATTACCTGAGCCCGCGGGTTCGAGACCCACCCACGCAACGTGGCAAGACCTTGTCTCTACAATAAATCAAAAATTAGCCGTGTGTGGTAGCACACGCCTGTAGTTCCGGCTACTTGGAAGGCTGAGGCAGAAGGATCGCCGGAGCCCAACAGGTCGAGTCTGTGGTGGCCAGGAGCATGCCACTGCACTCTAGTCTGGGCGACAGAGTGAGACTCCAACTCAAAAAAAAAAAAAAAGATGCTCCTTGTCAGGGCACACAGACTGAGCTAGGGTAAGGACAGGCACCGTGGGCCGTGTCACAACTACAGCTTGTTGTTTTGTAAGGTGGTGTCCCTAAGCCACCTCTGTCTTAAGGGAACATCTTTTTTTAAAGTTTTTTTTTTTTTTGCATTTTATTTTAGACTCAAGGGGTACGTGTGCACGTTTGTTTTACAGGTATGTTGCTCAATGGTGAGGTTTGGGCTTCTGTTGAGTGTGCCGCCCAAGAGGTGAGCATGGTACCCAATGGGTGGTTTTTCAACCCTGTCTCCTCCCTCCCTCCCCTCCTTTAGGCGTCCCCAGTGTTTATTCTAAGGGGACATCTTTTAGCAGATTGGTGTCTACAGGTGTTCTTAACTAATTACACTATCTCCAGCCCATCTATGTGGTCCCCCAAACATACGTTCCCCATTCTGGATACTTGGAGGGAAGCTTCGCTGACCAGGATATGAACACAAAGGTGCCTGTCTGTGATCCCAGCCTCTGCTCCAGCATTTGTAGGGCAGGGTGCAAACGTCCTTCCACCTCTAGGACTCCATACCCCAGGGCTCTGATGAAATCCTGATGTTAATTACATAATTCTGTAGAAACTGATGCAGTTACACAAATAGGTGACTAGGCGTGTGTATGGGGGACCCAAAGAAAACCGGAATTATCTTTTGGAGGGCAGGCCCCTTGTAGCACAGGCTTCTCCCACTAGGTAAGTATTCTAGGAACCCCTTGGTTTTTATCTGGAAGTTTTAACAAGGTTATGTCACGATTTACAGAAGCAATGCCCCAATTTGTGGCAGACAAGTGACTGGTTCTTCCACCATAACAATGCACCTGCCCACACTGTGATGAGTGTTCAGCAGTTTTTGACCAAAAAAGGCATGACCCCTGTGCCCCGCCCTCTCTGTTTACCTGATCTCTCCCTGTGCAGCTTTTTTTTGTTGTTTGCTTTCCCATATGAGAAAAGTCCTGAAAGGGAAACGTTTTGCTAATGTAGAAGAGATTAAACAAAAACAGCAGAAGCACTAAAAGGCATCAAAATTGACAGGTTCAAAAACTGTTTTGAACAATGAAAAAAGTGTCTTGAGAGGTGTACTGAATCAAACAAGAGTACACCTCTAGATGTGCTGGAGTGTTTGCTGAGATTGATTGCATGACTCGAGGTAATCCCTTTTTAAAAAAATTGTTCTACTGAGCCCAACATGGCAGCTCACTTCTATGGTCCCAGCATTTTGAGAGGTCGAGGCGAGAGGATTGCTTGAACCCAGGAGTTCAAGACCAGCCTGGACAGCATAGCAAGACCTCATCTCTACAAAACATACAAAAATTAGCCTTGCATGGTGGCATGCCTGTAGTCCTACCTACATGGGAGACTGAGGCAGAAGGATCAACTGAGTCCAGGAGGTCGAGGCTGTGGTGAGCCATGATCGTGCCACTGCACTCCAACCTGGGTGACAGAACGAGACTCTGTCTCATAATAAATAAAGAAATAAATACAAGAAAAAATTGTTCTGTCCTATGCCCACAGAACATTCTCAGCTCTGCAGACAGAGTGGCCTAGGAGAACTGGAGCAGGTCACACCAGACCTCTCTAGAACGCCCTCGAGTTGGCCCCCTTCACCAGCTGCAAACAGGCTGATTGCAAACCTCAAGCCTGAGGTTGCGACCCCTCTCTGTCATGTCCTTGGAGTGCGCCAGCCATTGCTCTAGCCCTTAGGATCTTTGCTGCAACCCTTCCCCTGCCTGGAGTGCCCCCGCCCCCAATACCTGCTGGCCGACCCTCACCTGCAATCTTGGATCCATCCTCGCCTTCCTGTGAGGCCCATTCCCAGACACTGCCCATGCCGATGACCTCCTCCCTGCCCTGCCCTGCCCTGTGCGTCACCCACATGTTGTGTGCCCTCTTTGTTCATTTCAAGGGAGCTTGTGGGCTAGATGTGGAGGGGGCCTGGCCCATAGTACAGACTGGCATTTGTGAAGATTTGTCTGAGAATGAGTCTATGCTTGAAAGTGAGTATTTTCTTCGATTGTTGATCCATTATATTTCACCAGTTCATTGTCAGTTCTGTATGCTCTATGCTGGGTTAGGTTTTATCAGCATGACCCATTAACTAGCAAGTGGCATTTTTAAAGCCTTCCACTATAACTGTAGGCGTGTACGTTCAGATACATGGAGGTATGGAGGCCTGGCATGGCAGCTCACGCCTGTAATCCCAGCGTTGTGCAAGGATCCCTTGAGACCAGGAATTCAAGACGAGCCTGGGCAACACAGTGAGACCCTGCTTCTACAAAAAGTCTTTATAATTTTAAAAAATAAGTATTGATAATAGATATACAGTGTAGTTGACTGTCGGAACTTGTAATGTTAAACATGTCTCATTGATTAATATTCTATAAAGATTACATTTTTCCATAGTTGAATTGACGTTCTCCAAGTAAGTATTCACTACTATCTCTGAAGTCAGTGTTTCATCAGGTATCATTTTGTAGGAGATGCATTCCTTTGGTTTCTATTTTCACATAGGAGGCTTATTTGAATACGTCTCTGCAGCCAACTACTTTGGAGAAATCATTGAATGGTGTGGCTATGCACTGGCCAGCTGGTCTATCCAGGGTGGGGCTTTTGCCCTGTGCACATTTTGTTTTTTACTCGGCAGAGCAAAGGAGCATCATACGTAAGTTATAAAATACTCTTTAACAGTTTTACTTTGTTCCTTGGTTTTATTATAACAATTTTCAAGTTAGATTAACATTTTTGAAATGTTAATATTCCTTTAAATTGCTGAATTCCAGTTTGCCCTATGCTTTAGCTAAACTAGTACAAAACCAAGTAAATAGCTGCAGAATAACCCAGTTACTGGGTCCACCTGGCCACAGTTGTTTTCTACACCAACTTCTAAGCCTCTGTATTTATGCTGCTGGAGTCAGTAGTCAAGTTAAATACCTAACCAAGGATTCAGGGATCTGAATTGGAAACACTGATTAAAACTGAGGCTAGTCTATTCACAATAGCAAAAGCATGGAACCAACTGTGCTGCCCATCAAAGCTGGACTGGATTAAAAAAATGTGGTACATGTACACAATGGAATATCATGCAGCCATAAAGAAGGACAAACACATGGACTTCGCAGCAACTTGGATGGATTTAGAGTTGATCACACTCAGTGATCTCTCACAGGTACAAAGAACAGAGTACCATATGTTCTCACTCATCAGCGGACCTTGAACAATTGTCACAACACTCTAAGAAAGGGATTGGCAGTGGTGGGAAACTGTCAGAGGCGGAGGGGTGGGAGTGGCAGTGGAGGGAAACTGCTAGGAGAGGGAGGGGCATGCCTCATCAACAAGGGTACCTGCATAATCAAGGTTTATATACTTAGCCCTGAATTGTACCCTACATCTTTATAATAAAAAAATTAAAAAAACAGACTGGGCACAGTGACTCATGCCTGTAATCCTAGCACTTCAGGAGGCCAAGGCAGAAAGATTGCTTGAGCCCAGGAGATCAAGAGTAGCCTGGGCAACATAGCGAGAACTTGACTCTACATAAAAATTAAAAAATTTGCCGTGCATGGTAGCGCGTGCCTGCAGCCCCAGCTATTCAGGAGACTGAGGTGGAAGGATTGCCTGAGCTCAGGAGGCCGAGGCTGCAGTGAGCCATGATTGTGCCACTGCCCTCCCGCCAATGACAGAGTGAGACTCTGACTCAAAAAAAAAAAAGAAAAACTGAGAATACTGACTGAGCAGTGGCAGGATGGTGAGTGTTACAGTTGGAAGAAGTCCCAAGGTTGAAGGTAAATTCCAGAGTCAGGTGGCACTTGCAGAACACAGGCACACGAGCACTCTCTGGCTCTGAGCCTGGGGTCCCAGTGGGGGGAAGGGGGGCTGCAGAGGCTCTGTGCACCCCCTGGCATGGCATCGTTTTCCAGAGCATGGGTCCTCAGCTTTCATCTGATCCCCAAAAGGCCTTGCGATCCATTTGGCCAAAAAACTCGTAAAAAAATCAAAGGATGTCAAAGTCGAAATGAATTTAGAGAACATCTTTCTAATCCCGTAGATGAAGAGACTGAGGTTCAAGGTACAGAGTCTGAGACCAGTCAGGAGTCTTGCCGCATTGACTAGTTTGCCATCACCTTGAAAAACAGATTCGGGGTGTCTTTGAGACACTGTGGTTGATGGTGCTAATGATTTAGAAAAATGAGGACACACAAGACTGTGTTTCTGAAATGCTCCCGTATTCTCAGCCCCCGTTCATAGACTTACATACAAAAAACGAGACTTGTGAACGCTGGCCAGTGTTTCCTCAGCTGTTCAACAGCAGCAGTGACAAGTCCATCCAGGGAAGACTTAGGTAGAAGAAACTGGAATGCTGAGCTGTTTGTGAGTCATAAAAACAACAACCATTTTGAAGAATAATTTGAGGAATTATTTCAGACTCCGCATAATCCGAATGTGATGAAGTGGGCATCTCTTTCTTAGGCATTAGTCAGCTTTCCTCAGAGAGGCAGAAGGACATTAATTCAGCCTCAACAATAATAAAATCAAGGCCAAAAATCTTTGTCCAACCCTGTTCAGCGTCACGTGAGTGACAGCTTTAATTCTAGGGACAGAAAAAGGAATGAGAAGAATAATAGGAATGGTGCTACTTGGAGGCCCTATTAAAAAATACACATATGATTACATCTTTATTAGAGTATGGTTTTTTGAGATGGATTTGTGATTTCAGTGATGAGGTGAGAAAAACATAACCACGTAAGAAGGTATATTTTATTCCTATCTAATGGTTTCTGTAAAATAAACGGAAGCTTTTTGGTGAACATACATCGATTGCGTGAGAACATTCTGACCTAACAGGTGTTCTTCACAACATTGCGAGGAGCCCAGCCCTGCTGGACAGCACTTGGTGGGGGTCTTCAGGTATCCTCAGACAGTCCCCACACCTCCCAATTTGAAGCTCTCCAGCTATTGTCTACTCTGCCCTTGCCATTTTAGGGCCCAGGTATCCCTCTTCCAGGGGCAGTTTCTGGAAGAGAGGGGCTCCCTCCCCATCTCCCTGTGGGGTTCCAGTGCTGCCAGATTGTGGGAAGCTCTCAGTAAGTGCCAAGAGACCTGGCTCCCTACCAGGCCTGGGAAGACTTTCAGGGACCAGCGGGAAACGTGTTTAGGATGCCATCACGCGCCTCACACCGGCTGCTGCTCTTGGCTGTGTTGTGTGATGGGCGCTCTTGTCCCATGAGGCATCATGGAGGCACACGACTGGAAAGGCATCTGTCACTGGGGCCTTGTGCCGGGGGCAGTGATGCCTGACCCAGCAGTCCTGACTGACTTCTCAGGTTTTTTCTCATTACATGCCTTTGCGAGTGCACAGAACAGCATATGCAAGTGAATACAGAGGTTCAGTAGGTTATAATTCTCTCTTTGTGGACTGCAGTGTTAAACGTATCTAAGACCAGCAGAATTTTGCCAGCTCACTCCGTTTGTTGTAGTCATGTGTTTCTGCCATACTGACAAATGGCTCCTGGCTTTCTGTCATGATTTTAGTCTGTTTATCACTTTTTGTGCTTCTAGAAACTCCCTTTTTCTGAATATTTCCCCATCTTGTCTAATTATTTTTAATTAGTCACCACCTTCTCCAACCAGCTATTACCCCAAAACGAATGAGTGTTGGGTTGATATAGTTTACAACAAAACCTAAAATCATGTTTGTTTTGAGCACAGGGATGAATTATGGAAACACCAAACCACATTTCCCCGGATTTTACTGAGTCCTTATTAAGAGCTGTCTGAGAGCCCCCTGGCACACAGCTGGTGCCCCCTCTGCAGGCCCTGGCCCGGGCTGGTAGTTCTCCACTGGAGGTAGAGAAAACTGTGTGTCCCCAGAAGACGTTCAGGAAACCCTGTGGGTCCTGCTCCTCTGGTCTGTTTCTCCCCCGGGGTCTGGAAGGATGGCTCTATCCTGTGCTGATCAGCACGGTATCAGATGCCAGTCATTTTTCTTCTCAGTGGAAAGGTGAATTACATGGGTTGGTTCTTCTGACTCACACTTCATGATTGGATGTAGCTATTCACGATGTAGGCAAAATGAAGCTATATGTATTAAATGCCAAAGTGTTTATTGCTGATTTTAAAAACTCAGTATTCTTTTATAGTTTAAAAAAATGCCACTTTTGTAAGCCATCTGCTAAGTGACCCAACTTTTCCTTTTTGTTTTTTCTTATTTTAGGTGGTACCACAAGAGGTTTGAAGATTATCCAAAGTTCAGAAAAATTATAATTCCATTTTTGTTTTAAGTGCATTGTCAATGAAATGGTCTTCAACTTGAAGCTTTTCAATGATGTTTCTCTAGACTTTATACATAAATTACATTTCTGTAATTTTCCTGCTTCTTCTCGTTTTCAAGTTGTGCTCTAGGAATTTTTTCCCTGGCAAATTTGTAAGCTGCATAATGAGAAACCAATCAGGCCATTGTTTTGTTAAACTCTGGTGTGTCTACATGGCTCTTTGAGCTGTGGTCGCCATGTTTCCTGGTTTTGACCCCTTCCCCTGCCTTGGGGAGGTGAAGTTTTTCTCTCTCTTGCTCTTTCTAATTTGCTTTCTAAATAAACTATACTTTTCAATCTAAAAAAAAAAAAAAAGGAAACTAATCACCTTGCACCACATAACAGGTCAGGAATTTGAAACTCTGGGTAATTACTGCTGACTGTTTCTTTAATTTCACGTTTATCTCTTTTGACTGCATATCTGGTTTTGTGTACAAAACCAGAATTCACAGTTGTCTGTGATGACCTCTACTGAATGAGAAATGTCACTGTTTGCTCTACAGCCCCCACAGTGCCTCTTTCAAGGTCAATCGAAGTGTCGCCCTTCCCCCAGGGAGTGGGTTCTGATGTAGAAGTCTCTCTTGCTGTACTAGGCTGGAGGGCCCTGGGGTGCCCACTGTGCAGTTGTGGCCCCCACTGTCAGGTGCTCGGGGGTAGAGAAGGAAGCCCCTCAAGGCCTGTCCTCAGCAAAAGCACGCGGTGCTTGTTCCAGTCTGGCTCATCTGGTGACGTCACTTGGCAGGGTGGGCTGCTGGTGGCAGTTTGCAGACTGTTCACTGGAATGGTCTTTCCTCCAAATTCCTTTCCAGAGAGCCTTTGTTCATGTTCTCTGTGTCAGATGCAGGATGTGAAGTGACCCCAACTCTCCTTTCAGCCTCATCCTGACCCAACACGTGGGCTCTGGCAAGCGTCCCTTGAGCTCAAATGTTTGCTCAGTGGCGCCAGGGGAATGGGTTTGTTCCCTCAAATTCAGACCTCCCACACTTTGGTTGAGGTCTTGGAGACTTTTTCCTTCCCCAAAGACCTCCTCCATCCAGACCTGGAAGGGACCTTCCCTACTGACTTTGAGTTTGGTGGGGAAGAGGGGTCCTTCTCAGTCAGACTTGGCTGGTATGTAGGTTTTGTGGAGACACTCACTCTAAGGGCGCTTGAAGGGATACCTTTCTCAGGTCAGTGCCATGGGCAACCCGTTTTAAGTTTTCCCCTGCTGAGCAGCTGTCTTCTTGTGCTCCAGCTGGCTTTTTGAGCAAAAACTATGGTCCAGGAAATTGTAATTGGCTAGGTGTCTGGGCAAAAATTACCCAGAATAATCATAAACTTTTTTGGCCAAAATGGGGCACCTTTGAAATCCCAAACTGGCCTATCTGCACTCACAACCAGAACAAAGAAAATGCTGAGCTTCCTAGAGACCACAGGAAGGATGCCCTTTTCAACTGGCGCCTTGAAATAGTGTCTAAAGGGAGTCATAGACTTCCATTGTCCCTTAGTGAAAACAATTCCAAATTGAGTGAGCGCCTCAATGCAACAGATGAGCATGTGCGAGGCTGAAGCCAGAGTGTCGAGATGGCTTTGAAGGGCCTTCCCACCACACTGGCCTCTACCCTACCTGTCTCCTGCACCCTCCTGGCCTCCCTTCACTCCCTCCTTCCTCTTTCGCTCTCTCACCTGGTTATTTTGAAAAGGTTTCTAGATTTTCCTGGACTCGACTATGTGTTTTCTTGTGGAATCCTGGGATGAAACCCTGTGATTTTGGGTTCCTTTGGCATCCAATGGGCATACATGGCAGTAATAAAATGTGCTATTTATGTAAAGATGCTGAGGAGAAGCCTTGGGCCAGGACACTGAGTGTCATCACCGTTCTGTGAACATCTGAGGAATACGTCATCATGCCCTTCCTGTGGGGCTAGCCGCCTCTGTCACTGCTGCGTCATTCCTGGCTGGAGACAGAGGGGTGGATACGGAGAGATTGTTTACTTTATGATCCACCCATGGTGCTGGATGAGGAACCCTCCAAAACATACCTGAAGCAGGCTGCCTTCGCCGGGCCCTGGGCACCTGATCTGCTGGCTCCACCCCTCCCCAGCTTACCTTCCGAGGCAGGGGCCTCCTCCCCTCTTGAGTTTTCATAAGTCACCTGTATTCTCTGCATTCATAGCTTTCAGAGTCTCTTTCAGTTTTCAAATTGGCACAGAGAACTTGTTATGATGTGCTGTGCTTCACTTTAACGAAAAGCAATGTTTATGCAGGAGTTTTGTTGTGAAATGAACTTGAGCCCTTTTTCTGGCCCAACAATGGCCTGAAATCCTAAGAGAATCAATGGTTTAGTTCTCCTTGGGAAACCTAAAAAGCGTGATTTCATCTTGATGGATTGGGGCCCCTGTGATCTGGAAGGTGTACCTGGTCAGGGGAAAAGTGCTTGTCTGAGATCCAGAGAAACTCATGTGAACTTAACTTCTGTTTGTGCCTGGTGGTTGGTTTGTTTTGAGTAGGGATCTCACTCTTGCCCAGGCTGGAGTATATAGTGGCACAATCACAATTCAACACAGTCTCGACCTCCTAGGCTCAGGTGATCCTTCTGCCTCAGCTTCAGGAGTAACTGGGACTGCAGGCACATACCACCATGCCCCGCTAATTTTTTAAATTTTTTTGTAGAGGCAAGATCTTGCTATGTAGCTTAGGCTGGTTTCAAAGTCCTGAGCTCAAATGATCCTCCTGCCTCGACCTCCCAAAATGCTGGGATTATAAGCGTGAGCCACCGCACTCAGCCTGTCTTATTTGAACAACCCATATATACAGAAATCTGGGTGAACTCAAGATTTGATGGGCTGCTACTGCTTCACTGGTATACATTGGATGAGTGATTACCATAAGAAGAATTCCTGGTCGATCTTATATCTCACTGCCTTCTGTTTTCTAAAACTGTTGTCTCACTAAATTGTGCTATTTATCATAATTTAAGGAGATTAATAAAATTACAATTAGAAGTCCAGTCATCTTGTTGATCTTTGTTAATCTACTGTCTCAATACTTGTATCTTGAAGTTCAGACAGTCACGTCAGTATCCTCAATCCTGCTATCACCTGTGTCTTTGTGTCAAGAATTCTCTCACCTCTCAGCAGAGCATGACAGCCTTCTCTTCTAAATCTTGTGCATTTTTGAAAAGGCTATTTTTAGGTATTTTATACTTTGTTGTGGATGAGAATGTGTTTTCTAATACATTTTTTAACCAGAATAAACCAAAACTGTTGATGCGTATTTGCCACTTCCAGCCATGCTGTAAAATTATCTTATGAATTCCAACTTTCATTTTGCTATTCTCAGGATTTCTGAGAATACAGTTGTCATCGTTTGCAAATATCTAAATTTATATTTTGCAATATTTGAAGTGTTACTTTTGCTATTGTTTGCTTCTTATATTAACAAGAACGTCAACAATATTGAATAATAGGTTATTGGCAACATTCTCATGTGATTTTAGCAGGAATGCCTTATTTATAGCCTTTTAAAAATTTCTGACATAGTTATTGATCTGCTTTCTACTTTAGCTGTTGGGATATTTTCTTTGCTTTTTTAAAAAATAATTTATTTTGGTCTTTAGATTTTCAAGTATAAATTTCACATACAGAGCAGAAAGAGAAAGAGGGAATAACAACAGGTATAGAGATGGAAAATTATGAGACTACGTCTGCTTTGACATTCTAATCTCTCTCATGGGTTGTTTTCGGCATTCGGAGTACTTTACTTCTAAGTAACACTGACCATGTTTCCTTAAGTTTAATAATTATTCTAAATAATCTCCAGTTGTATTTTACTTCTAAGTAACACTGACCATGTTTCCTTAAGTTTAATAATTATTCTAAATAATCTCCAGTTGTGCTTGTTAAATTTTATTTGATCTAAATATTTGTCAAGGAAATAATACATATTCAGGATGATGCTTTTTATTTTTCAGCCATGTGGGGGATTCTATTTAAAGTTTTTTTTTTTTTCTGCTTCTCATGTGTGGATATAGTAGAGATTATCTTCTGTGAAATTTCTCCTTTGTGGATTTTGAGTATTCCTTTGCAGTCTAAAAACTGATCATCTTTCATAACAACAACAAGACCGCTTTTTAAGATTTATCCTGTTTGTTTTTTGTTAATTTAAACATATATTAGTTATGTCATTAACCTTCTCTGCAACTTTATTTTTCTTAGCTAATTTTCACAGCTGATTTTCCTTCTCATCGCTTTTGATTTGCTTTGTTGCTGTGGCTTGGCAAAATTTTCCACCTCATAGTTTGTACCTGTTGTCAAGACAGAATAATCTTCCCGTTGAATGTTTCACGACTTGGATTCTACTTCAATAAGAATATTGCTAAGTTGCTTTTTTTGCTGTTGATAAACTTACCTGGTATTTCTTGCCTGTCTTCTCATTGGAATGTTTTAATGTCACTTGTTATCTGTCACAACATAATAGACTTTGCCACTTGATAAAGCAGCTCAGATTCCTTTACTAATTGCTACATTGGAATGTTTTTTTTCTTTTATCATGTTTTCTGTTTTTCTTTTTGCAACTTCTTCTATTTACCAGCTACAGTAATTTGAAAAGAAGACTTCCTTTTGGTTAAAAAAAGAAAAAACACTGATTGGGAATGGCTTTTGCCATTTTTTTAGAAGTACCCCTGAGAGCTTCCAGTTAAATCCGATGAACTGAACTTGTGCTTTTACTTCTCTTCTCCCTCCCCTCCCTATCTTGACCCCTGTCGAAATCATCCACCGTAGTGAAATTCAGGGGTAGGCAGGCGTGGTGGCTCATGCCTGTAATCCCAGCACTTTGGGAGGCTGAGTTGTTCGAGACCAGCCTGGGCAAGATATCAAGACCTTGTCTTTTTTTTTTTTTTTTTTTTTTTTTT